CACTGATGTGAAATGAATAATAACCCTACTCTATGATATAAAATGTGTATTTGATTTGCTTCTGATATACAATAAAATGAAGCATTATAATGTAAAGAAATGCATTTTCTTTATAGGTATTTTGAAACATAAAGAGGAAGGAAATGTAAATGAGAGATAATCAAAAGTCAGAAAATGACTCCTTCTAGCAAGGTGTCATTGCTTTTCAAAAAGGAAGAAAATTAAATGCTTCGTTCTGAAATTTTTATTAAGTGACAACATAACAAAAATTAAAATATTTATATGCTGGCAGAGATCATTATTTCTTTTTTATAGTTTAATGTCTTTTAATAGCAAACTTAAAGGAACAGCATAGAAGACAGACAACATTAAAAACACGTACTTGCATGTAGCACAACTCAGAAAAATATAGTTAGTGGGTGGAATATACTGTATGATAAAAATGCTACAAACACCATTTTAATTGCCATCAATAAGAAATTTATTTATTAAAAAATTCTGGCATTGTACAAAAAGTTTTAACAGATTTATTTATAATTGTTATAAAGTTAAAGTGTTGAAGTGTGTTCACTGAAAGATTTTGTATATGTTAATACTTTACATCTTGCATTTATTTTAAAAATTCACACAATGAAAGTGGAGAAGGGTGTCAATTCAATCTCCTATTTTTCCTCCTGCAACCATATACTTAGGTACCTTTTAACCAAATGTAAAAAAATATCTAACATTCAGAACTACTGATAACAGGAAGAAGAGGGTGTAGAGTGAAAAATTATAGACACTGGGTATATAGAATTCTTTTTAGACATATAAAGTATTCCTTAAGCTTTCTTTATAAAGACATAGACAAATCGAGGCATGAAGCAAGTTAAGAATGTGGAAAGACCAGTCACCATCACTGGAGCTGGCCTATCTGCAAAGAGTTAGGAAAGAATGCAATTTAGCCAGGTGGAACCAAGCTCAGAATCATAGTGACAGGGCAAGGCCGAAGTAACAGGGCAGGACCACATTCTTGGGAAAGATAAGCGTACAGAGAGTTTTCACCTGATCCTGACTCACATAGGTTGGGTTCCTTTGGAATGTTCCACTATTTTTATGTTATACCACCCTAGCAACCCCCTCACCCCCTCCTCATTCTTTGGTTTGTGGTTTTTTTTTCCCTTAAAAACCCCTTTCAAACTGGCTGTCGGGGTCAATTCAGCTCCTGCGTGGGCATATGAATTGACCCGCAGCTAGTTGTCACGCTCTAATAAACAACCTCGCAATTGCTCTGGTACATGGTGTCTCGAGCAGATTACTGGGTGGTCGCGACTTTCTGAGACTTGAGATAGGGTCTCTCCTCTGCGGAGGTCTTCAAGGGATTTTTTTTTTTTGAGAATAAAGTGTTTCCCCTCAAAGTGAACACTTAAACTTAAGTACTTTCTCCTCATATGTGGAGTGATAGCTGGGTATCTTTTGTCATAATTGTTATGCATTTGTCATGGCTAGCACACAGTTTGGTGTCTTGAAAAAGCCCAACCAGATAGGCCTCAATTGCCTCCTGTACTCTGAAAGCACAGATCTGTTATGAAGTCCTGAGCAATATCTTTCACCAGTAGTTTGAGGGGAAGCTTGTGAATCAGAAATTCAGTAAACTTCCGATAGCATCTGATTTACAGAGTACCATTGTACCAGGCTTGTAAAGATGAGGTTTCTTCACCCCTCCAGTAGAGGGTGCACTCTTGTGAACTGCTTTGATAGCCAGTTGTTTTCTGGTGCTTTACCACCTGTGGATTTACAGGAAGTCAGCTTTGTACAAGCCATGGTATGGGCACATCCTTACTTAAACTCTCTTCTCCTTCAGCTAGAGCTCCTTAACAAGAAAAGCAAGAGGCAGCACTGGAGTTAGAGGGCAGCAGCATAGAAAGGTGGCTGGAGACCATACTTTCTTTCTTTTATTCTTTTCACATAGTTAATTTTACTTATTATGGAATACTTAGGTAACAGACCTGCACACTGAAATCTGTAAAACATCACTGAAAAGAATTTTAAAAGACATAATATGCATATATAACTAGAGGGGCATTCATTACACCTTAGGATTTTGATATTCAACAGAATTTCTTCAAAAGCTTAGTTTAGAGTCACTGTAATTACAGTAAAATCTACATCTGCTGGATGTCCCATTACTTCCTATGTTCTGTTTTTAAAAGCTAATAAAATTTTTTAAAAAATATACAACTGAGTATTGACATTTTTAAGTCATCAAAATAATTTATAATAGTTAAATGCCTTTTAAATATACATGATATCTTCTAAAGCTAAAAGTAATATTCACTCAACCAGTTTTAAGATCTATTTGGAACATTAACCATGAGAGATGTAGAAAGAAATCACTTATGAAGTTCTCTATGAAAGAAAACTGTGACAAGTTCCTGATTAGACAAGGGAGAATAAGCAGTATAACTGTGGCTTCATAGAATGAATTGGGTAGTGTTCCTCCTGTTTCTAATTTGTGGAATAGTTTGAAGAGTATTGGTATTAGGTCTTCTTTGAAGGTCTGATAGAATTCTACAACTAAAACCATCTGGTCCCATAAACATACAAGAGGCTTACAGAACTCCAAAAGGAGGCCATACTTTCTGCACAGCCCTCAGCAATAACTAAATGTTCAAAGGAGACTCTCCTAAGAGAGCAGCTCCTTCATTCTGAGTAATGGATGAGCCTGAGATCAAAGAATCAGTGTCCTTGTCCCTTAGATAGTTTGCCAACTAGGAAAGACATGGCATGAGGTAATTATGAATGAGTGGAGCATAGAACTGCGTTGCAAGGGTAATCAGTAAGTGTCAGTTAAAATAGAGGAGAGTGGGTGGAAAGTTATTTTGGAAATAAATGAATATCTATAGTATATTATAACAGATATTCAATCTGATTGATTTTTTGGAGCTACAAGAAAGGACTCTGTTATAAATCATTTTATTATTTTCTGTTTCTATTAAGAAAAAGATATTTCCTGGAAATTGTGAAATATAACTAAGTAAGATCCAGTTCTAACTTTCTCAGGGATGTAAACGTTATACAAAACAAAAGCATTTAAAGGATATTTATTTCATTTGATAGCTTTTATATATTCTAGAAAGAATTTTGGCATGATATTTCCTACTTGCTTTTTAATTTCGTTTTTACTTTTGAACTGTACTTCATAATTGAAGAAAATAAAATTAATCTTTTCTTCTAAAACCCAAATCAAAAAGCTAAATTTATTTATATTGTAAATTCAGCACAAAAATGTTTTAATATTTTATGATTTTTAATTTAGACTATTCCTTCAAATTATAGATTTTTAAAATTTTTTATTGGTTGCTTGTGTTTCACATCACATATCCCAGTCGCCTATGTCCCATCCTCTCATTTCTGTCCCTTACCTGCAGCTCCACCCCAAGTAAAACCACACAGACAAGCAACAACAAAAAGCATAGAAAACATCTCATCATGGAAGCTGCATTATGTCACAGTGTGTCTTACAGTACATCCCTCTGTCCACACATCTTCACTTGTAAATGTTCATTGCTTCGAGTCACTGGTCAGTTTTGAGATCTCGAGTTTCTGCGACACCATCAATATTAAATCTTCATCTGTATTCCTCCCGGTTATCTTGTTGTCACTCTGTCATAGAAGTCCTGCAGTTTTGGAACAGCAGAACTGGTCCTTTCACGTGTCCCAATCATTTTTCAGATGATAAGATTTTGAGGTGGGCCAGTTCAGAGCCCTGGGTTTGGACTTGGGTGGTAGCTGAGCTGATCAGCCCAGCTCAGTGCTACTGATCTCATGCTTGCGAAGCCAGCTCTCCACACCCACAGAGCTTCAGAGCCAGATGCACTGTGCTGCCCAGTCACGGTTCAGGTTCACTCTCCCAAGTGCTGCAGACTGAGAAAGATGGAGGTAGCCAGGTCTCTGGCTCCTACCCTCTTAGGTCTAGCTCGTTTGTGTCTTCACCATGAGGGTCAGCTCCACTCTGTTGCCCAGGCAAGGCCCGCTCTCCCAAGTGCTGCAGTAGGTGAGGGGGAGGGCCAGATCACCCACTCTCTTGACCCCTGGGCCAGTTCTCCTGACTGCCCTATGTGGTGGCGAGCAAGGGATGGGCATCACCCCTGCACTCACGTCACTTAATGGCAGATGAGGCTGTATCCTTCGGGCTAGGACATCTGCGACCGTGCCACCAGAGTCAGCTCAGGAGTACTATCCAGGCATGATACAGGGCCTTCACTCTCAAGTGCTTCAGCTGGTAAGAGGCAGGCCTATCTTTCTCAGCTCATGTTCCATAGGGTAGCTTCCCCCACTGTCAGAGGTGGCAAGGGGCAGAGATAGGGGACATCACCTCTGTGCTCCACCCCATAGCAGGTGTGTGACATAATCAACTCTTCCAAATTCATTCTCCCACCGCTAGGGCCAGCTCCACTGTGCTGCCTGGGCAAGGCACAGAGCCATCTCTAGAGTGCTACCCCTATGAGAGATGAGGCCGGCTCTCAAAAGCAATGCATCCATGAGGGGTGGAACTCTGAACATCCATGTGGTCCCTGGTGGCTGTCCCAACCAGGAACATCCCCATGTTCTCTAATGGTATGGACACTGCCAATGAACACTGTTATTACATAGCCACTGACTTAGATAGACATAGCTCTCAGCAGGTTGGAACCTCACCATGGTCACAGGTGGCAGGGCTGGCCACTCACAACAGACTCCTCCTCTCCATCCTTGAGTTAAATCTCTCTTCATAACGCTCCAGCTACTCCATTTTTCTTTCACCTCCATCTGACCACCACATGCTCACACATTGTGATGGCTCACCCTGCAAGCTGGCCACATGGCTGGCAGACCCCTGGATGACATCCTTTATCCTGAGTCTGTGGCCTGCCAGTGCTGAGCACTGGAGGGCAGATCTGTGGGTGTCATGGCAGTCTACAAGTCTCTTTCTCCTTCTGCACTGGGATGCCTGGATTTGGTTTTATTTAATTTGATTTTTATGTGTCCTAGGCATAAAACAGCTTTAGCCACCAAGCCAGGCACCCAGCTAGGTCGAACAAAGACTACCATCTGCTCTGACCCTGGCTGATAGAAGAACAACATCACCAACAAGGTGTCTCTTTGCCCAATGCCAAGGGGAAGGAAATTAAGTAATTTGATTAATTTATCTGATTTTTACTAAACAAGTGGGAGCTAGGGATAATTCCCTAGAGAGCTCTATTGTGTTACCAAACAAAATGATAGTACAATTTTTTTCGATGTTGTTATTTTATATATTTTGTTTAAAGTCTGAGAATTTTGATTTTGTAAGCACATTAGCTTAAAAGACACAAAATCTTTGTGTATCATTTTTTTCTCAGGCAAATGGATACTTTACTTCCCTAAGAGCTTTATGCTCTGTTTTGCTGACAGAGATAATATTCCAACTCACATGTGAGAGTCTAAATACCACATTGTCAAGTGGGATCTAGATGCAGAACATTATAAAAATGTCAACCTACTCCATCATCCAGAGACAGCCTTGCAGAAGCATGCTTTATGAAGTTCTGACTCTTTATTGACTTTTAGTGAGCAAACAAAGAAGAGAGAGAGCACACTTTAAAATGGCATAACTCTTTATCTTTAGATGATATTCATAAGCTTTTAAAAACTGTAGTTAACACTTGAGCTCTCTGTAATATCCAGAAGTGTGTTTTAAAGTCCAGCTTTAAAACACTTTAAGATAACTGTTAAAATGGACCTTTAAAGCTAGACCTTCAGATGATCCATTTCACATAAGCACTCGATGAGTATTAAAGAACACAAGTTTGTTTGTTTATTTATTCCTCTGTTTGTCGGTTTATTTCTATATCCTTTATTTAGGCAACTATGAAAACTTCCCAGCTATGAGATTGTTGGGTTTAAAGAAATATAATTTTAAAAGTGTTTAAGAGACTTGGGATATGATTCAGTGGGTAAAGTTCTTGCAGTGTAAACATGTGGACATGAGTTCAAATCCCTCATACCCATCTGAAAGTGGGGTAAAGCAACACAAAATGTAAAACTTGTGCTAAGAAAATGAAGATAAGCAGATCCTGGGGCTCACTGGGTTGTCAGTATAACTAAAATGTTGAATTTCAAGTTCACTGATAGAGGCTATCTCAACAAATAAAGTGAGTAGCAATGGGTGAAGACATCGAGTGTTAACCACTGGCATACACATATACACACTCAAATACCACACACACACACACACACACACACATATACATACACACCAAGAAAATAAAATAACATTTACATAAATAAAAGAATCTATCTTTTCCAAATTTTTCAATAGTTAATCTAACCAAAATGTTTCATAAGCTTGCTCATATGCCAGTATACTTTTCAGCACTGATTTAAGTCACTTAAGTTTTAGAAAACTAAGAAGTTAGGAAAATATATCTCATCATTGTTTGTTCCTTCTGTTGTGAGCAATAGAATGTTTTACACAATTCTGAATGTTTCCTCAGCTTCATGTCTGTAGCTAAAACCTGTGGCTTTTATTTATTATTTTTTTCTTTTTCCTTTTCTTTTTCTTTTTCTTTTTTTTTTTTTATACTCCAGTGTTTTCCACTCCTGGTCCACCCTCTGACTGTTCCATATCTCATACCTCTTCCCTGGCCTCCTGTCTCCACAAGATGCCCCCATCCCTCCAACACTCCACCAGATCTCTAAACTCCCTGGGGCCTCAAGTCTCTTGAGGGTCAGGTGCATCTTCTCTGACTGAACCCAGACCCCCGCATTCCTCTGCTGTATATATGTTGAGGGTCTCATATCAGCTGGTATATGCTGCCTGGTTGGTGATCCAGTGTCTGAGAGATCTCGGGGGTCCAGGTTAACTGAAACTGTTGTTCCTCCTTCAGGGTTGCCTTCCTCCCAAGCTTCTTCCAGCTTTTCCCTAATTCACTCGCAGGGGTCAGCAGCTCTGTCCATTGGTTGGGTGCAAATATCTGCATCTGACCCTTTCAGCTGCTTGTTAGGCCTTTCGGAGGGCAGTCATGATAGGTCCCTGTTTGTAAGCACATCATAGTATCAGTAATGGTGTCAGACCTTAGTGCCTCCCCTTGAGCTGGATCCCACTTTGGGCCTGTCGGTGGACCTTTTTTTCCTCAGGCTCTTCTCCATTTCCATCCCTGCAGTTCTTTCAGACAGGAACAATTATGAGACAGAGTTTTGACTGTGGGATAGCAATGCCAACCCTTACTTGATGCCTTGTCTTTCTGCGGGAGGTGGACTCTACAAGTTTCCTCTCCCCTCTGTAGGGTATTTCATCGAGGGTCTCTCCCTTTGAGTCATGAGAGTCTCTCACCTCCCAGGTCTCTGGTACATTTTGGAGAGTCCCAGAACCTCCTACTTCCTATTTCCATTCTTTCTTCTGGCCCTTAGGGCTTCAGTTCTTTTCTACCACCCAATCCCATATCATGTTCCCCTTTCCCCAAACTCTACGTCCCCTTTAACTGCCCCCTTGAGATTGCTTTCATCTCCCTTTTAAGTGGGATTGAGGCATCCTCACTTGGGCCCTTCAGTTTGTTGACCTTTTTGAGTTCTGTGGACTGTGTCTTTGGTATTCCATACCTTTTGGGGGGCTAATTTCCACTTATTAGTGAGTACATATCCTTGCTTGTTCTTTTGGATCTGAGTTACTTCACTCGATATTTTCTAGTTCTATCTATAGCCTGAAAAACTCAGGATGTCTTCATTCTGAATAGCTGAGTAGTATTCCATTGTGTAAATGAACCTCATTTTCTGTATCCATTCTTCTGTAGTAGGACATTTGGGTTGTTTCCAGCTTCTGGCTGTCACAAATGAGGCCACTGTGAATGTAATGGAACACATGCCCCTGTGGCATGGTGGGGCATCTTTTGGGTATATTCCTAAGAGTACTGTTGCTTGATCTTCAGGTAGAACTATTTCCAATTTTCCAAAGAACCTCCAGATTGATTTCCAGAGTGGTTGTACCAGTTTGCAATCCCACCAGCAATGGAGGAGTGTTCCTCTTTCTCCACATCCTCACCAACATGTGTTGTCACCTGATGTTTTGATGTTAGACATTCAGATTTGTGTAAGGTGGAATCTTATGGTCATGTAGATTTGCATCTCTCTGATCAGTAAGGACTTTGAACATTTCTTTAGGTGCTTCTTAGCCATTCGAGATTCATCTGCTGTGAATTCTCTGTTTAGTTCTGTGTCCCATTTTTTGTTGGGTTTTGGGGTTTTTTAGGGATTAGCTTCTTGAGTTCATTATATATTTTGGATATTAGGCCTCTATCAGATGTGGGGTTAGTGAAGTTTGTTTTTTTCCAATCTGTAGTTTGCCGAATTGTTTATTGACTATGTCCTTTGACTTAACAGAAGCTTTCCAGTTTCATGAGGTCCCATTTATCAATTCTTGATCTTAGATCAAGAGTCCCTGGAGTTCTGTTTAGGTAGCTTCCCACTGTGCCAAGGAGTTCAAGGCTCTTTCCTACTTTCTCTTCTATAGGTTCAGTGTATTTGGTTTTATGTTGAGGTTCCTTGATCCATTTGGACTTTAGCTTTGTGCAAGGTAACAAATATGGGTCTATTTTCATTTTTCAACATACAGACAGCCAGTTGGACCAGTGTAGGGCACACTGTGCACGCGCGCGGTCACAGGGCCGCAACGACAGAGCGGCGGTCTCAGGACAGCGGGCGTGAGGAGCCAACTGTGGAGAAAAAGACTTCTCATCCCCTGTCCCTTGAGCTGGTGCGCAGCATCAAGAGACACAGGACACAAGCCGCATGGCTAACTAGAGTACAGAGAGCGCTGGGGCGGGCGGACACATGGCTAGCTAGGGTCCCTCCCCCACCCTGCGCAGGCAGGGGCATGCAGGATTTTTGATTTACTCAGATCCAGAATTCACGAGACATGTAGAGATTTGAGATGTGTTGATTTATTAATAGATGATGGGCTTGGGTGGTGAATGGTAAAGTGCTCTCCAGAAACATGTCGGAAGGTGTTTCACTTATATATTGGAAACGGAAGAGAAGGGCAGGGCCAGAGAAATCTTGAGGCAGAGACTTGTTCTCTCCACCCTCTCTCTGGGCTCTGGGGAGCGTGGCCAAATTACAGTCCCACAGACCAGCACCATTTATTGAAGATGCTTTCATTTTTCCATTGTATACCTTTGGCTTCTTTGTCAAAGATTAAGTGTGCATAAGTGTATGGTTTTATTTCTGGGTCTTCAATTCTATTCCATTGATCAACTTCTCAGTCTTGGTGCCAATGCCATGCAGTTTTATCACTATTGCTCTGCAGTAGAACATGAGGTCAGAAATGGTGATTTCCCCAGCCGTTCTTTTACTGCTAAGAATTACTTTTGTTATTCTCAGTTTTTTGCCTTCCTGATGAATTTGAGAATTGCCTTTTCCATGTCTTTTAAGAATTGTGTTGGGATTTTGATAGAGATTTCATTGAATCTGTAGATTGTCTTTGGTAGAATGGCCATTTTTACTATGTTAATTTTGTCAATCCTCGAGTATAGGAGATTTCTCAATTTTCTTGTCATATAGATCTTGTTTGTTTAGAGTTACCCCAAGATACTTAAATTTTTTGTGGTTTCTGTGAAGGAAGTTGTTTCCCTAATTTCTTTCTCAGTCAGTTTATCACTTGTCTAAAGGAAGGCTTTTGATTTATTTAAGTTAATTTTATATCAGGCCACTTTGCTGAAGTTGTTTATCAGCTGGAGCAGTTCTCTGATAGAATTTTTGGGGTCGATTATGTATACTTACTATCATGTAATCTGCAAATAGTGATACCTTTTTTCTTTGCCATTTGATTAAAGAGATCCTTTTAATCTCTTTTTGTTGTCTTATTGTTCTGGCTAGCACATTGAGTACTTTATTGAATAGATATGGGTAGAGTGAGCATTCTTTTCTTGTCCCCAATTTTAGAGGGATTGCTTCAAGTATCTCTCCATTTAATTTGATATTGGCTGTTGGTTTTCAGTAAATTGCTTTTATTATGTTTAGGTGTGTGCCTTGAATTTCTGATATCTCTAGTACTTTTAACATGAAGGGTGTTGTGATTTGTCAAATGCTTTTTCTGCATCTAAGGAGAAGATCATGTGTTTTTTTATTCCTTTGAGTTTGTTTATA